GGTATTGAAGTATGAGCGAGTGAGTTAAAATTTAACGTCACCTCGGCAGTATTTCAGCCATATAGTGACGTGAAATGTTTTACAGAAACAATCAATTTAAGTTGCTAAATAATCAGACATCGAAGAACTGTAAAATAACTCGAATATCACACAGATGGAGTCTAAAACTAGCATGTACATGAAAAACGAAGACGAAGACAATACAATATAAAAACGGGCTACAGGACGCCAACAACTGAAGGTAGATCACCATACTAGGGACCATGGGGCCTTATAGTGCTTTTGGTACCTGCATGGACCCCAGATGGATTTACACCATCCCTTCAGCCGCTGGCGATTGCAGGATAATTTAGCCGACGGTAAAAAAAAGCAAAAATACTACCTTTTAAAAATCTGATAAGTTTAAATTTAACTTTGAAGGTTTGGGGGACTTATGTACCCTCTCAGGAGGACAATAATTTTACAATACTTCAACCCCCTTTGAGGGTACAGCCACTAACAATCTTAGTTACCAATCTAAACTATCAATCATAAAATACATCTATTTACACAATATCTTAATCAAAATTCATCAATTAAATCAATTTCTTTTATAAAACCAATAATTAAATGAAAATTAACAGTGGTAAAAAGATCCTTAACTGTTTTCACATTGAAATATATATCCCTCATGATGGAGAATTCAACACAGTCAAGGAGGACATGCTTGACCCTGACCTTCTCACCACAAGGGATACTAAAAGGAGGATCTTCACCTTTTAACAGGTATTTGTGAGTATAACGTTTATGGCCAATGCGACAACGTCCCATAATGACCTCCTCAAATCTGGACTGACAACCCAAGTAGGTGTAACCAATATAAGGTTTTATTTCATGTAATTTATTGATACCCACTTGGGTGTCCCAGTTTTTCTGCATCAGATCACGGATGTAGGTTCTAATGCTAACTTTGTAATCAGAGTGTGGGATCAGAAGTGGTGTCACAGATTTGTTGAGTGCTGCCTTAGCAGCAAGATCAGCCATTGTGTTACCAGAAATGTCAACGTTGCTTGGTAACCAACAGAGGACGATGTCGCATTTGGCCAGTAGCAAGCTCATTATACAATTCAATAATTTTTAATAAAAGTGGATGTTTACAAGAAAGATTTTAATAGCCTGAAGGCAAGCAAGAGAATCGGAAAATATGATGTATTGTTCATATTTACGGTGTTTATTAATATATTTAAGATCTGTTAATATGGCGTTATCGTCAGCTGTGAAAATAGAGCCGTTATTTGGTAGTCGAGAAGATATTGTTCGGGATCCAATGACAGTGGCACATGCCACCGGGCCACCATCCTTGCACCCAATAAGGATTTGTATGCATTATATTTATTTTTTAATTAGGTATTCAGACGAAAGTCTGGAAGACCTACTGTTATTATCCGAATATTCCTCTTCTTCTTCTTCTTATTATTTGTACAGATTTTGTACCCGCTCCCCTGATTTAACTGCTAGGTCGATTTTTATGAAACTTTCAGGGATGATAGCCTGTATGCTTAAATTCATACAGTGTTGAAAAAATCCTGACTTCCTGCTTCCGGTAAGGGCAGAGAACCGAAAATGTCGAAATCTTCACACCTCAATATCTCCAAAACTATAAGAGATAAATGGACCACATTTTCACTCAATGTAGACAACATCATTCCCCATCGATTCAACACATAGCAAAAGTTGGCGGGCAGGTCAAATTTTCCGCAATTTTGAAAAAAAAATGAAATTTTTGCCGATTCCCGCATTTTGATGGTGCCTGTCTTTAAAAATCTTCTTCTCCAGAATGGCATATAGTACTCGTGTTCGATACGCCGTTGGAAAGCCTATACTCTGGACACCTTAATTTGTTCAAGACATGTCTATATCTTGAACTGTTTTGGAGTTATCGCCCTTGGAAGTCGGTGAAATTTGCTACGACGCATTTTTATAGGGTTAACAAAAAGGTCACAACTCTGCGAAAAAACTATCGATTCCATTTTCCTAATTACCAACCTGTAGGTAATTAAATGGGAAACATTTTTGCTTCACATCATGGTTATGTAAAAAACCAATAATTACGTCGCCATTACGACACAAAGACAACCTTCGCGATTTTGCACATTTCCGCACCTTTTTCAGGGTGCCTGTGTTAAACAATTGTGTTCTATATACCGCCTTAAAGCCAACACTCCGGACTACTTAGTTTGGTCAACGCATGTCGATATCTTGAATAGTGTTCGAGTTATTACCCTTGGAAGTTGGTCAATATTTGGCAAAACGAATTTTTATAGGGTTCACAGCTCTGCAAAAACACAATTGATTTCATTTTTGAAGGTATCAAATTGTAGATAATGAAATGGGGAACATGTTTGCTTCACATTATTATTATGTAAAAGTCAAAGGTTACGCCACAATTACGCCACAAACAGGGAGGGACATTAGGATTTTCGCATTTTGTCAGTTGTGAGATAACTAACTGAAGGAAGCGACAGTAAAATCTAGCAACAGTCGCCGCTTCTTGTTTTTTTTGTCAGTTGTGAGATAACTAACTGAAGGAAGCGACAGTAAAATCTAGGAACAATCGCCGCTTCCTAGTTTTCCAGTGTCCACAGAAATAGTTCCCTCTTTAACAGACCGTAACTCCGTTGTTCTTAGGTCTACAGTCAAAACAGTTAGTGTTCTGGAATTGCCAGGATGTGGTCTCTCCAGCAGTTTGCTTACCAGATGTCTGTAGATATTGCTGTATTATGTTGCTTTGTTTGACTGTGTCTTCCTGTTTGTTTTTCTGCAGTTTGTGAATTTTCCGTTTGTGTCAGCAGCATTTAATCATGGGCAAATTAATCTAAAAAACACTGTGATGGGCGATGGTAAAGTTAGCCAAGGGGAGTGTATGGGGAAGTCTGAAGACCGTCAGTATTGCCCAGGAGGCAATCCTAGTTCATTATATTCTTGTTTATATTGTAATTCATAAACTTTGTCAGAATTAGGTCAACTCCAGGCCTCACCAGTTGCCAAGGAGGAAAAGAAAGAAGACGGGAAGGAGATATATTTTCCAGCTCAATGCCGGCAGCAGAAATGAATTGTTTAATTCTCAAACCAAGAGGCGGAACAAGAGAAAGCATTTTGTTGTACAGATCCTCATAAAGAGAATCTAAAACACAGTTAAATGTATGATTTGACTCATTAGAATATAGTTTTGTTACATACTGCAAGAATAATTTTATACGGCGAGATGGCTCATCGGCCTCGACGTAGAGACTATCAACTGGAGAAGTTCTAAATGATCCAAGACAAAGTCTGAGACCTTCGTGGTGAACAGAATCAAGTAGTTTTAGGTTGCTTTTGCAGGCTCCGCCATATACGATCGAGCCATAATCAAGTTTAGATCGCAAAAATTATCCATATAAGTGAAGGAGGGTAGTTTGATCCCTTCCCCACTTTGAACTTTTAACAAATCGAGTGCCTTCAGGCATTTAGCTTTAAGGGATTTAATATGTGGCAGGAATGTTAAATGGGAATCGAAAATTAGGCCCAAGAATTTGGCCTCCTTTACAACTTTGATGGGAGTGGCATTAAAAGATAGTTCTGGGTACTTATGAGGCTTATATTTTCTACAAACATGTATACAATTAGTTTTTGATTTAGAAAATTTAAAGCCGTTTTCAAGACACCATTTATTTATTTGTTTAAACATAACTGCAGTTGCCGTTCAATAGTATGCATATTTTTACCACGACAAGAAATATTGAAATCATCCACAAATAATGATCCATCAATTGAATCCTTTAAAATCGTTGATAAACTATTGATCTTGATGCTAAACAGTGTGACAGACAAAATACTGCCTTGTGGGACACCCTGATCCTGATTATAATGATCAGACAGGGTTCAATCCACTCGGACTTGAGTGCCTTTTAAAAACTGTGATATAAAAAGAGGCAAACGGCCTCTCAAACCAAAATCATGTAAATCCTTCAAAATGCCATGCTTCCAGGTCGTATCATAAGCTTTCTCAAGATCAAAGAAAATTGATACAGCATGTTGTTTATTTACTATAGCATTTTAACAAAGGATTCTAAACGTACCAATGATCAATGGTACTACGATTTTTCCTGAAACCACATTGAATATTTGTCATAAGGTTATTGGTTTCAAGATACCAAGTTAATCTATTATTCACCATACGTTCCATGGTTTTACAGACACAGCTAGTTAGAGATATCGGTCTGTAATTATACGGATCTGAATGATCCCTGCAAGGTTTTTGGTATTGGGACTACAATGGCATTACGTCAGGAAGGAGGAAATTCTCCAGACGTCCATATTTGGTCAAATATATCTAAAAGTGTCATCAGACATGGTTCAGGTAATTGTTTCAGTAGCTGGTAATGTATATTATCATCACCCGCTGCAGTGTCATGAGCTTGCTCAAGAGCAGTATGTAGCTCATGTAATGAACACACTTCGTTATTATCTTCACCGTTATTTGATTCGAAATTAATTCTTGACTTTTCCTGTTGTTTCTGATATCTCTGAAACTCAGGGACATAATTTGCCGATGATGAAGTTTTGGCAAGAGTTTCGCCAATTGTATTTGCAATTTTAGACTTATCACCATCTTTAAGATGGTGACCAGCAGATTTTGAACCTTTGCCTTTAATTCTTTGAACCATGTTCCATACCTTAGACATTGGCGTGCGTGAATTAATTTTTGAGACATAATTTCTCCAAGATTGTCGTTTGTTTTGTTTAAAGGTACGACGCGCCTTTGCATTGAGTATTTTAAATTTATTTAAGTTATGGACAGTTGGATGATGGCGGAAATAACGCTTTGCGTTTTTCCTCGCTTTCTGGCTTGTCTACAATCTGTATTAAACCATGGTTTTCGTACATGTGGAGTCGTAGAGTACTTTGGTATACACTCATCAGCTATTTGATTTAAAACGTCAGCAAAAGTTTGAATGGTATCAGTAATATTAATGAAACATTCATGTCGCAGTTTCGATTTACATATAGTTTGATATAAAGACCAGTTAGCCTTCGAAAAGTTCCATCTTGTATACAATGGAGAATCAGATGGGAGTTATTTCGGAAAGGATGGTTGGGAAGTGGTCACATCCACAAAGGTCGTTATGAACAGACCAATCAAATTCATTCAGGAGGTTAGAATCTGCAAGAGACAAATCCAGAGAAGAATAAGTGCCAGTTGCAGGATGCAGATAGGTGCTTGAATCATCATTAAATATGCACAGGTCATTATTGGAAATGTCATCCTCCAGTATTTTGCCTTTAGTATTAGTATTAGTACTGCCCCAGAGTGGGTTGTGACCGTTTAGGTCACCCATAATAACATGGCTTTGGGCGTTGATCATAGAGTGATTGAAGATCAGTCAGCTGAAGGTTCGATGAAGGCGGAATATACAGAGAGCATAACGTAAATGCTACACCCAGAGTAAGTCGCACTGCAACAGCTTGGAGATTAGTGTTAAATGTAACAGGGCTGTGAATACCATCCTGTCGTATAAGGATAGTAGAACCATCAGTGGCTCTATCACCTGGAGGGGAAAAATAATGATACGTTTCAAACTGACGTAAGTCAAAACTATAGTTGCGGGCAACGATGAGGTCTCATTGGCTTTACTTTCTATCTATCTATCTATCTATTGTATCTGAGGGCTAGAAATCATCGTCCAAAACGGAGCCAGAACACATGGTTTGACAGGCGAGCGGATCTTCCAAATACAGCCGGGGTCACGGGGGTCATGTACTTTAAGTAGTTCCGGAGAAGAAATAGTTCCCTCTTTAAAGAACCACTAAACTTTGTTTTTTGTTACTCTTTTAACCATTACATATGAAAGATTTGTGGTTAGTCTTATGCGGAACACCAAATTTATTCTTTAAAAACTTGTGGTTAATTAATACCGAGCGATTAAAAGTGGCCAAAAAGTCGCCTGCTTCCCTCTCGCCCGCCAACGAAACCACAGACAGGTTACGTGACTCTGTCGCCAGAGCACTGCAGTGACGTCATATGAGGAACGATTTTCAGTTAGTTGTATAGAAAATGTGTAGCACGCTCATCATTTTGATGATTTCTCGACATCAACGAAGACATGCCGAATCGTTGCTTTGTCGTCAATTGCTCCTAGGGGTCGGGCGATGGTGTCCCCATGCACAGATTTCCACAGGACCCCGCAGTTCGTGCTAAATGGGTTATGTTTGTGAGTGCGAAGCGAGCGTTGTGGAAGCCTGAAACGATATCTTACTTGTGTTCAGATCGCTTCACGGAAGTTAAAGAATCCAAACTACTTACTAGTTGTAATAAAATATGCATATGATTGATGACCATAAAGATTTTCTATGACACAACTTGTAACATAACGATTTCTTCCTCGGAAGCGAGGTTGTGGTCGAAGTAACAATAATATTGTAAGTAGTATTATATGGACACCCACCTCGCTGCCAGGAGAGAAATTGTGATGTTATACGCTATGTCATGCAAAATCATATTGGCCATCAATAAAATACATATTTTACTACCAGTAGAAAGTAGTTTTGATTTTAACAACCGGTGAAAACAAACCCTAAATACCATTTATCCTCAGACTGGCGGATGTTCCCGACAGGGCGCCGCCATTTTTAAAAATAAAAAAATCTGTTAGAATTAATAAGATTATAGTTTGTTTTCATCAAGTTAGAAAATCAAGACTACTTTCTACTCGTAGTTAAATATGTATTGGAATCATAACCAAACGGATTTTGCATGACACAACTTATAACAACGATTTCTTCCACGGAAGCGAGGTGGGGAAGTCGAAGTCACAATACTGCGATAACTTTCTTGCTACATTCCCATGGTTAATGTCCACTCACCAGTATGTAGATACTAGTCAATGTGCGTCTTTATATTTGGTCTTATAATCCTAATTAAATACTTGTATGCATTTTGAAACTAAATAAAAGCAGACGATCTGCTGAATACTTATAGTGAATTTATAACAGAACTGTAATATCTAGACATTATATAGTTTGCCAATGTGAATCATAATTCGCACACCCCTAGTGCATGTTGTCTGTCTCCATTACACTTCACGGCGAAAACAATGATTCTGTTGATATGCTACGACAAATGAATAAAAACAAAATGCAAATATTAAAAATTAAAACAGATTAAAGTTATAGGAACAATATCAGGCCATTACCTTGTTCGAGGAATGTATCCATCAATATCCACAAAACTGTTCCAAATGATGTGTCTTTTAACAGTTTAATATACGAAAAAGTGATAAATCTTTTCAGGTATTGGTGTATAGTCTCATTGGTCACCCAAGATAGCACACCTGGCAACTAATTGCATAATGTCCGCCTTTCTTTAAAAACAGTAATTTAGTTAGCCAATAATGGGCAATCAATCAATGTATTGCCGGTTAATCCTTTGAAAGAAGGACGTTGTTTTTACGCAGACACAGACACGACAGAGTGTATTCAGTATAGATTAGTAAATCTACATACATAAACACTACCTTTTGACAATTCCGCTGTGTAAGATAAAAGTAATTAATCAATCAGCGTGTTATCGGTTAATCCTTTGATCGATGTTTATAATGTTGATTATTTACTCCAGACACAAGAAATGCCAAATGGGAACCTTTGTCGGGTAATCTAAGTGTAAAGTACCACTAATTATACCTGTTATAAATTCATTAACTGACCATCAAGTGAATGATGACAAATAACATATGTAGGTATATACCACCTAACACGGGTTACCACAAGGGAGTATTAATTGCTGTATTGCATGTGAAAACTTATTGACACTGTTTTGAGAATACAAACAGATTTATACATGACATGATTAAATATCGAGGTAAAAAACACAAAGGCTGTATCTTAGTTGTTCTTGGGTCTACGTTCAAAACAATTAGTGTTCCGGAATCACCAGGACATCACTTACCATGCTGGCAGAATTTGCACATTTTGGGAGTAAACTACGCAGAAAAACATGGCCAAAAACTGAAAACAAAAATAACTGCCAAACGGTAAGTTTTAGCGACTTGACCCGTCCTGGCAAAATTGTTGGGAATTCGATTGTGCATCGATATTGTACAAGATATTTGGAAGTGTTGGAACAATTAGTTCTTGAGATATTTGCTGTCAAACGTTGAAATTTTGGAATGAATTTTGAATTATTTCCCCTTTGCTATTGGGCCAAGAGCCTAGAGATTTTTAAGGGGAATATCTACACCTGGGTGCGCATCTTTGTGATTTTTGGTAAGCGATTCGGAGCATCGGTTTAGGAGTTATGTTTGGTACAAAAATCGGCGGAATAATAAATAATAATAATAATAATAATCCGAACGATTACAATAGGTCTCCTGCCTAGAGGCAAGGATCCCTAATTATCTGCCTGTTTCAGATACGTTTCTTGTAGGCAAAATGCTGACGCTTTAAGATCTTGGACTCATAACTGTAAATCGTTTAAATTTGTCCCAATTCCTCTACAATTCCACTGTATTATAGGTGAAGATATCATTTCTTCGGAGGGTGAACGGGAGATCTACCCCTCACCTTCCGTGAGGGCGACAAGCTATGTGTCCTACCATGGCTATGGTCAGACACATCCATGTCCTCAAGAGACCCAAACTTGTTAAAAATCTGGATCTGGTTGTTTGTCCCTCTTGGGGTTCTACTACTCTGATTCTTTTTACACGTTTCACTGATCGTTTTGCGTTTGTTCTTTGCTGGTTGTTTCACATTTGTTTCTGATTAAGATAATTGAGATGATGGTTTCTGTGATTTAGATAGATCCTTCTCACACGCTACCTTGGGTATTTGAGTGAGATGTGGTTAGTGCACTGGCGGTCTTTTGGAGTGGCTTTGCCTGGATTTCGACAGATAGCAATGTAGGCGCAGAAGTCTTTGCCCACGTGTAATCGGTCTGACATCCTACTGAATTGCATGAAACAGTTTGAAGTTTGGAAACAGGAAGAGAAGCTGAAACAGCAGCAGAGTATGACGGGCCTGTGCACAAGAACAATCTGTTTTGCTTCAACGAAGGTAATGTTGCGTTCATGCTTCATCTGTGATATCTTAGATTGAAGCTTCGAGGTAGGGCATTCCTTAGAGGAGGAGGGATGGCAACCAGAACAATTGACACATACGGGAGGTTTGTCACAAACGTTAGAATTGTCGCAGGATCCTGCACACAGATGACAAGCTGCTTGATTATGGCACGATCTAGAACCGTGGCCATAATTTTCACATCTGTAGCATCTCCAGGGATTAGGGATAAATGTATCAACCCTCAAGTAACCAGCTTTTAGTGATTTTGGATGAATGGGGAGGCAAAAAGTAAACAGAAATGTATTGGTGTTTGTGATTTGATCATTCTTTTTTGAAAGTGAAACGTTTACACTAGCAACACCTTGAGAACCCAATTCTGTAACGATGTCAGTTTCTGTCATATCAGAAATGCAACGTCCAATGTCACGGACGATGCCTTTAAAACTATTTAATGATCGGTGAGGAGAAACTTCAACGGGAATATTGGCTAGAGATTTGGCTGAGAGCAGGATTTGTGATTGGATCTGTTTCCTACACTCAATGAGCAGAGAACCAGATCGCAGTTTCTTAATTTCTTTTACCTCACCGGCCAAACCTTCAATACCCTCAGCTACAGCAAAGGGGTTTAGCCTTGAGGACCACCATCAGGTGCTGTCATGACAACAAAACGTGGCCAATTTTCATTGTTGATGAGAGCTACGGGAGCCTCATCTTCCGACGAGAACGAATCATCAGACTCGTGGGAACGTTTTTTGAGTGGGGGTGCCATGATAGAAATATATATGATTCACCCTCCTAGGTCCCCACCCACCACGGAGTGTCAACAAGGACGATGTCTTATGTCTGAGGAACAGACGACACCAGGGATACCAGGAGGGTATACTCAAGCAGGAAAATCTTGAAAAGGTTAGCCCTACCGGATTGGCCCATGAGCCACCGCCTTCTGACACAGGACTCTAGGCAAGTTAACAAATAATTAGTTTTGTGTTTTCAACAATAATCAATAGCCAAGACCAATATCCATATACATCTAATATATCAAAAATCAAATTTGTGCAAAATAATTACC